ATTTCGTGATTTTGCCTCAATAGCTCTATGGCTATTTGTTTGATTGCAGACTTCCTCAAGTGTGGCTACGATGCTAGGGAGGGTTTGCTTTATTGCCCAAAGACTATAGTACTGACATGCCCATCCGGTATCTGACAGCCGTTTTAATTCCACAGCTTTTTTAGTGGGCTCAAGTTCAGCTTGTTTTTCCATGGAGACTTTGTGAGCTACTGAACCAGAAAAAAAGTTGTAAAGTAGCTGAACTGTGACAAAGCATTCAGCAACTGGTTTTACATTGTGGACACAGTCAACTAAAACCAGGTTTAATCTGTGTGCGTGGCAGTGGATGTACACTGCCTGTGGGACCTCTCTATGAAATTTTTCCTGAGCACCGTTGTTGCAGCCAGACATTACTGACGTCCCATCGTAACATTGTCCAAAGCATGCATTTTTATCTATATTGAATTTAGCCAATGCCCCTTTCACTGTCACAAGTAAAGACTCTGCATCCAAACCATCAGCAGGAACATTCGCGTCATTGTTGTGTATGTAGCGCAGAACAATAGATATCTGCTCTTTTTTGCTCACATCTTTTGTTTCATCCACCATTAAAGTGCTCTCCTAGTTTAACTTCGTTACTAAGCTGTTCTCTCAAAATGCAGGCCATTATGTCAATTAGCTCATTCTGAATGTCATGATGGACATATGTTGCATTACCTGGCCCAGTAGATAATTTTTTGGACACAGTGTGATCAAACTTTCCCAGCACATGTAACATTTCATGGAAATGACCTCTGTTGTTGGACTGTTTCTTCTCTCGGTGGCCTCTGTGAGCAATGGTTTGACAAGCTGTAAAGCGCAGCGACTCAACGACTGCTCGCATGTAGATCCTGTTTTCTTTAACAAGTTTCTTATGTCCATCATCATGGAGGTGCGTCAAAATTCTTGATCCATTTTTCTCTCTCTCCTTAAATTCACACCACCCTTCCATTGCCACTTTGTGAGAAGCGCTGGCGTTGTTGCGCCAGTTTCTCTCCTCCTTTTCTCCAGTTTTTAAACCCGTCCTGGGTTTAAACCACTTTTCTGAGTGACCACCAGCTCCATGCACACTGTTAAAAAATGACGACAGGCAAAACAAAAAGCTGCGTCTTTTGACACTAAATATTCAAGCCACTGGTATTGTTTGAACCACGAGTAACTAAAACCCCTGGATGCTAGCTGCCCCTGTGATCCAAAAGAATGACATGGGTATGATTTTAGCTGAGGCTGTCTTGGTTTCTCGGCTGGACCGTGGCTTGAATCCCGCGTTAAATCCTCTCCGCCGTCAAGATTCCCTCCATGCGTGCCCGCTGCTGTAGCGCTCGATGAGGCACAATTTCTTTCCCTCTGCTCGCCTGTTGTCTCCTCCCCCTGAGGGCTGCAAAGACTTGCTGTGGTTGCACCTCCTCCGGCTGCATGTGGCTGCAGATCAAATGAGATGACAACAAAGTCGATCATTGAACTGCGACCTAAGGTATCCTGGTGCCAAGAGTACATGGGCACCTTTATGTCTGAACACAGTGTTCATTATGGACAATCCATGATGAGCACAGAAGTCCAATAACAAAACACTGCTCAGACTCAGATCGTGGGGGAGGGTTGGCATTCCTCCCAAACACACATCTCCAGGTCTCACTCTTGTTGCCCGTGTCAGCATTTAAGTCCCCCATGAAAACGAGGGAGTCACCGGAAGGAGCGCCCTCCAGCACCCCGCCCAAAGACTCCAAAAAGAGTGGGTAGTCTGAGCTGCAGTTTGATGCATAAGCACAAATCACAGTCAGGACCTATCCCCCCCCCCCACACGTAAGTGGAGGGAGGCTACTCTCTCGTTCCACCAAGCACCAAGATGGGGGGCTACAAGTGTGCCCACCCTTGCTCGGCGCCTCTCAGTGAGTGCACAAATGGAAAATCTATTATTATTGAAATTTCTGACTCTTATCGAGATAATTTTTCCCATGTCAATAAATTTGATAATAAAAAAATCAAAAGATGTGTGTAGGTTGGCAACGTTCATGTCCCTTTAAGAAGCTGTACAACCTTGAGTCACGTCAAAATGTGACTCATCGTAATACATGTGACAGCCCCATCTAGTGGACAACTTTTCTTTCTGCGCATACCCGTAGTTATCGTCCATTTATCGTTTTCGAGGTGAAATCCTCGATATATCGAGATATTGATTTTAGGCCATATCAACCAGCCCTAGTACAACCCCTCTCAAGGAAACTGGTTCTGAAGCCAGAGCTATTTGTTATGGTAAGTCTGACTATATGCGGTCAGAACCTCCCCACCAGAGAGGTAACAGTCCAAGAGCTAGCATATGTAGCCGAGGATCAGACCGCCAAGGTCCCTGCCTTCGGCTACTGCCCGACCAAATGGATTACTACAAACAACAATGAGTTAGCGGGCTACTGCAGCACCCCAGTCAGTCAGGCGCATAGTTATTCTGGTAAGCTATTGATTACATGTTTTCTGGAGTTATATCCGAAAAAATTTACATACACAGTGGTCAAACTGCAGCACATTGTTTTATTTTTCTCCAGATTTTTTTTATTATATTAGGACAGTATGATGGAGGTAAGGCCTATGGTGAGTTAAGAACTCATGAGCTGAGAACTCCCACTACAACCCCAGAAATGAATTATTCAATGAAAGAATACAAACTGTACTGATTTTTGTTCTGAAGACAAACAGAATCCTCCCCATGTCCAGATCGACTCGCGGGTCTTCTGAGTCAAATGGTCCCAAACATGTCTGCACCTTCGGCTATCCAGCTAGCGGTTGGTTGGAGTTTGGTTGAAATTCTCCAGTAATCCAACATCCATTCTCATCGTATCCCAGAGAAAAACCATCTGACCGACTAGCATTGGTTTGAGAAGCTATTGAATGATGACACATTGTCATCTGCTATAGGACGATCTTTTGGGACATCAATGTTTACATTTCTTGCATTGCTTCACGCATTACATCAGTGTGGCAAACAGCATTTTCTCCCTATGATTCAATTGTTTTGCACATTTGGAGGAGGATTTAGCAAAGCAGATGGATCATTCTAGCTGTATGGTTGATTGTTTGGCCCGTGGGAGGACTGTTGAAACGTTTTATTGAAGTTTCCTCTCTAAAGGACTACGAAATACGAAAGAGATGATTGAGGACAACTCCTGGAGTCCTTCAGCAGTGGACGGTTTGTGAGGCCCGTTTTGTGTGTGGTAAGTCCTTGTGACTAAGCATTTGTTAATTAGAGAAGATGTTTTAAAAAATATTCATCTTTGTGTTTCCACAGAGTCATGCTGTTTTCTCATTCTGATTCAGGAGTCTCAACCTGCGATCATTATAATAATAAAGAAATAAATATGAACAATGATGATTGAAGACTTAGCCAGCTTTGCAGTTTCTGAGGATGTATCTGTTTTCTTTGGCCATCACCCATAGGTGACTCTGCTTGTCGGAGCTGACTGCTGCTATCAGCATGACCACAGCTTTCTGTCCAGTGTCCATCTTATTTATGATGCTGTTGTAGCCTAAACAGTTATAACCTTTATACATATAGGCTCGTGGGTTTAAAGGTGTGGTTTACTCATTCATTCAATACATTAGCAGTGTTCTCTAGTGTAAATAAATAAATGCCTTGTGAGTCATTTAGACAAAAAAATGAATAACAACTATGATGCTCCAGTTCTGAGATGCAGAAGTTTGCTGGTGCAGAAGCGGGCTAAAAACAGCTCATTATTATTAATGACATGCAAACACCTTGCTTCTGTTTGGCTAACAGAATGCATTTGGCCATGTTGCAAGGTCACTATCACCAAGACAGTCTCCGCTCTCTCTCCTCGCTGCAAAACAAGCCTGCCTGTGGGCATGAGTTAAAAAAGTTAAAGTCCCATTAGTTGTCACAGACACTGATGTGTGTGCAAAATTTGTTCTCTGCATTTGACCCATCCCCTGGGGGAGCGGTGAGCTGCAGACACAGCCACGCTCGGCAACCATTTGGTGGTTTAAACTCCCAATCCAACCCCTTAATGCTGAGTGTCAAGCAGGGAGGCATTGGGTCCCATTTTTTTCAAAGTCTTTTGTATGACCCGACCAGGAATCGAACCCTGATCTCCCAGTCTCAGGGCGGACACTCTACCACTAGGCCACTGAACTGGAGCCAAAATGGGCAAGGCCATGAATACAAATTCAATGTGACAAAGATATGTGAGGATTTTCAAATCCTAGCATTTCACCATTTTCCTATCAGAAGCCAATGGTGAATGGCCTGTATTTGATATAGCAACTTCTAGAGTCCTCGGACCCCCCAAGGTGCTCTACAACGCAATCAGTCATTCACCCATTCACACACACATTCACACACTGGTGGGGATGAGCTACAATGTAGCCACAGCTGCCCTGGGGCGCACTGACAGAGGCGAGGCTGCCGAGCACTGGCGCCACCGGTCCCTCTGACCACCACCAGCAGGGGGAGATAAAAGCAAGCAAAACTGAAAAGTGTGCCTTTAAAATGGCATCACAATCAGTAACAGTTTAATTATAAAAGTTTCAAATTAGAGTTTCTTCTTCTGGTAGGAATCTGCCTAATAAATGTTGAAATTTCCACCTTAGGGTTTTTTTTTAAGAATACTGATATATTTCAAGTCCGGGCAGTTGTTGGATATCCTAAAATAACATTTCTACTGCTAACAAAATACCTGCTGTTATCCGTATTTTCAGTTTGACATGTAATAATACTACTTGTTAATTCAATGTAAAATGTGTGCGTGTGTGCGTGTGTGTGTGTGTGTGTGTGTGTGTGTGTGTGTGTGTGTGTGTGTCGAGTCCACACAAGCATGTAAATACAAGTGTGCGTGCGTGCGCGCGCGCGCGCGTGTGTGTTTTACTCCATGTCTGTCAGAGTTGTTTCTGCAGTTTATCAGCAATCTCGCTCCGGTCGAAACTGTGGGGATTATTCAGTTTCAGGTATTGTGGAGCGTAAACAGCCTGTTGCATTCTGGGTACTGTAGTCGTCCCTCCCCGCTGGCCACTCCTCTCCCGGGGCTCCCACTATCATTCAAACTTCCAGTCCCAAAATGCTTCGTGCTCCAGATCAGGTCGAGCCGAGACGAGGTGATACGTGAGCAGGTGAGCTTCGCCCTGACAAACACGCTCCGTAATAGTGGTCTGATCTCCTTTTTCCTGCCAACAAGAAGCAAAATAAACACCTGCTGCTGACGGTGAGGTCATTTTGTTCATGTTTTCTGTTTTGAACAAGAGGAAGTAGCTCTGAGAGTAATGGACGTGTAACTAACCGGTTACACCTGGTCAGACTCACCCGCTGTGATTTCCATTTCCATTTATTTAAAGCTGAAAATTGTTTTGTGTCTTTTTTTTTTACCTTTCCCTGTACCCAAAGGTAGCCAGTAAATACACACAAGTAGAAGACAAAAAAAGCAAATAACGACTTCAGGAAAGTTTTAATAAATGTACACATAGAAACAGTTTTAATTCAGAATAGACTCGTTTACCTTCCATAGCACAGTGCAGAGGAGGCTCAGACAGGACAAACTGTCCATGACATGACAAGACCAACCTGTTTTTGTGCACTGATGTAAGAAAACACGTAATTAATGACTGACTCACTGTGACACATTTTCAGTAGGCTGTCATTTTATGCATGTGAGTAAAAGTATGAAAGGTTCAGGCTTTATTCTTCAGTCTGAAACAGTTTCATCTAGAAACAGCTAATCTTGCAAGACACAAGCTGCAAACAGAACACTGACTTTAACACCGCTGGGTGTATTTCAGCAGCACTGATCTCTTTTAAAGGTTTGTATGTTTACAGGCAATCACCGAATAACATTAACCCCCTGTTATTTTACTATTTTAAGAGAAACGTTTCAATATTTATTTATTTTTTGTCTCATAAAACAGCACAATAAAGACACGTTCAGAAAATCACCATCAAAAAGAATTAATGTTATTTGTTAGAGGAAATATTGTTTTATTAAACTAGTTTCCATTTCAAATCATGAAATAATGTTTTACTCAAAGGTGAGCTAAGTTGAAATCCATGTGTCAAATATTCTGACATAATATACTTATCATATGTTTTGTAAGTGTTAAAAACAAAGTCCCCACTTTTACTATTTTAGTATTTTGTGTACCAGCAAATATTACAAGTAATCCGGTTTTCATGCTCTGAAATCATTAACCCTTTCATGTATAAATTAGGAAATCTTCAACCATGATTTTTTAAACAACTTTGTCATTCACCTTTAGAAACACATTTCAACAAATGTTTTACTTCTTCAACATTTAATTTACTAATAATTTATTACATGTCCACCTCAGTGGACAGCGTGTGTTCTGAACTTGAAATACGTTGGCTTGACTGGGGGTGGGGGGGCTATAAAGTCTTCAACCGCTGTGCTTAATAGCAAAAAAACCAAAACAGTTCTGAGTAGCTGTCCACTTAGTGACCATTATGCATGAAAGGGTTAAGTTTGTATTTATAAATGTCATTATTTATTAAGATTAAATGGAAAACCTGTGTAATAAAAACAATTAGACATCATGCTCAGAGCTATTTGTTTGTTTATTTATTTTGTTTTGGGGCAACAGTCAGGATGTAGAGATTGTTCAGTAATTGGAGGCTTATAGGATCGATCCCAGCTCTGTGTTTGATTATTGTCTTCACCCAGATTGCAGCTGTTGGACAGACAGACTCACATTTGACTCTAGAATGTTTTTATTTATAGAAGAGTTAATGGTGGACTCAGTGACTGCAAGATACCCACACCATGATCCTTCCACTGCCATGCAGACATCTGTTTACTAAAATATGGCGCTTTGTTGTTTAAAAATAAAAATGGTTCTAGGCTTCTTCGTCCTTCTCATTGGGCTTGTCCCTCCAGAGGTCATCACAGCCAATCATCTGTCTCCATCTACGTTCATGTCCTCTTTCAATTTTTTGGTCATCTTCTCAGCCTCCTGCCTGCTGGCTCCATCCTCAGCATCCTTCTAACTACGTAACCATTGTCTCTCCACTGGACATGTCCCAAACCATATAAGCCCAGCAAAATAGTTTGGCCTTTTCTTTTAAAAGAGACAGTAATTGAATTCCATCTAAACTAACAGGTTTTAAATAAAACACGGCCCATATGCTAGAATCTTCACCGTGAAATGAAAGTCACATTGTTTTTTTTTTTTTTTTTTTAGATAGAAACAGAGTTTGAATTATGTGGGAGCAAGGGGGAGCCCGGATCCCCCGAAAGGCTGGAGCCCTCAACTGAAGCCCCACATCGATGGGGGGGTGGGGGTGGGGGCCCAAAAAAGAAGCACCTGTGTGTAATTTGAGTCATGGATAGAAAGGAGTTTGTTTTAGTTAATCTAATCAAGACTTAATGCAACAAAGTAAATAAAATGGACCTGATTAAGATCCCCTAGTGTGGGAAAATAAATAAATAACTCAACTCAGTGTGTGTGGGAAAATGATTCTTCTAGATGAACTAATAAATACTCTAATGACATGCTGCAGCATGCTTCAATGAGCCTTATTATATGATATATATATAACGGCTTTATGCAGCATTCACACGCAGCTTCTGCAGACCAAACTTTCCTGGCCTGCTTAAACCCAAACTGCTGGATCTTTTAGCGTGTGTGTTATTCACAGACATGTTTTATTATGTCCTGACACATCTTGCCAGAGTAATTTTAGGTAAGCAGCAAACCAAAGTGTTCTAAACTGTGATTTTATGTGTCCAGATGAAAACATGGCCGCTGGACGCGCTATGTCCTTTAGGCGTGTTGGAAGCCTCATGCGGAGTAAATCTGAAGGCACACTAATTGATCTGAATGACACTGCATCTACTAGTGATCATTTAAACGGTAAGTTCTTTCTGTAATGTTTAGACTGCTCTAAACCAAATTTTAAAGTATTATAATACAGCTCACCAAGCTCTCATTTTCCAAAGGCGAGCATGCATCAGGAAGGGCTCAGACGTCAGAATGGCAACTTTTACGTCCGCAGCTTTCAGACTCATCCGAAACAAAAAGCCCAAACCCCTTCTGGAACAAACTATCTGGATCTAATCCTTTCCTTAATGAAATCATACATAACAATTTAGACAAGTGTGAATCCAACACTTCAGATGCACAACAAGAAGAAACTGCAGATCTAGACACAAAGAACGAGGATGCCTTCAGCACTTCTTCAGACGATGACAATGTGGGGAAGTTTTTGGAGAACAAACATAAAGTGAGTAATCAATCTGGGAGATGGAGGAGTGCATCAGATATCCTGGAAAATTTGGAAAGAAAAGAGCCCAAATGTAAGAGTGACTACAAACCCCCTGGAGCTGTGCTGAACCCAGACTTTGAGTGGCTAAAGAATGACCGAGAGGCTTATAAGATGGCCTGGCTGAGCCACAGACAGCTAACTAGATCGTGTCTGGACTTAAACGTGATTAGCCAGAGTCCTGGATGGTCTCAGACCCAGGCCACTAACTTTCAAGTCATCAGCAAGATTGACCACAATGGGGGTTCAGTTCAGTTACCAGAGTCTAAAATCAGCATCCATGTTCCACAAGGACACGTTCCCCCTGGAGAAATCCAAGAAGTTACACTGAAAGCCATGTTGGACCCTCCCCCTGGACTCAACAACAACTACATGACGACCATGAGTCCACTTCTTGAGGTGCTTCTGAGCAATATTAACACTAAGGAGTGCTTGTCAGTGGAGATCAAACTCTCTGGAGAGGTCAAGACGGACCCTGAGAGTCAAGTGATGACCACCGTCAGTGGATTAGTGTCCAATAAAAGAGGAGGACCATATGCTAAAATAAACAACTGTGAGATTCACAAGAACATGATGCAGATGAAACTCCTGGACTTGAAGACTCGCTTTTTTGTGATTGCCATTGCAGAGACGTCCAAGCTGCCATCCCCTACCATGTCAGTGTGGGATTACCTTGATCGTCAAATCACTGTCGCTGTCTACGGCCCTAGGTACATCCATCCATCATTCAAGGTTGTGATAGTTGTCTGCTGTCATGAAGAGGTTCCACCAAAACTTCCCTTTTCAGATATCTGCAGAGGCAACAAAACCCTGCCCCCTCTCATACTGCAACTTTGGGGGAAACACTCCTTTAAACCCAGTCCGTTAAAGGACTTTTCTCTTAGGGTTGGCATCAAAGGGTCAATGTTTAAAATCAAACCTGAAGACGAGGTGAAACAAGTGAGGCAGAGTCAGCTGAAGATAGGGACTGTTTTACACTTACCAGTCACATTAACTTGTCCTAGCATCGCAGACGTGGTTCCTTTTGTGTTGGGCATAGATGTGAAGGAGTCAAACTCCTCTTCAGCCACTTTTCACGTGCCTTCCCCTCCAGCTGCCCCTATCCGATCTGAGAAGAGGTTGCCTAGACATGCAGAGAGAAAGGTTGAACTGTTAAAAACTGTGTCTATCCCAGAGGAACCCAGTCCAGATCTACCCAAATTCACAAACCTACCCATAAACGTGCAGTGTTATGGAGTAGCGTTGAAGCCAGTTATTCGCCAGACTCGTGTTGATTACCTGTTGGAATACTTCAAAGGTGATACGGTGGCACTCCTTTCCAAAGAGACAGTCAAGTCAGTTGGCAATCTGAAGGTCAAAGAGTGGTATATTGGATTCCTCAGAGGCAAGATAGGCTTGGTTCACCACAAAAATATCAAACTCATAACCAAGGATCAGGTGATTGACTTCACCGGTGTTAAAATCACCACTGAGAACCTCCTGGGCAACATGACTCTGCCCTTCAGGAAGTTCACGTACATGTACTCTGCCATCCAGACTCTGGTCACAGAACACATCACAAGCTGGAGACATTTTGCAAATGCTTTAGGGTACGAAGACCAGCCTCTGGACACGATTACACGACGACAAGCTGAAACTGAGGCTGATAAGGTGGCCTGTGTTCTGGAAAAGCTGAAGGAAGACTGCCATACTGATAGGTACAGGAGAAAGTTCCTGCATGAATTAATGCTGGTATGTTAAAAAGAAATCCGACCTTTTTAATTGTTTTCAAGTGTTTTGATGCACTGTATGTGCACCATTCATCTATTTTCTAACAGTTAATTAGCGTTTGCTCTGATCACCAAGGGGCTGCTGAAGATGGACTCTGTTAATCTTGTGGCAAAGGTCATTCAGAATACAGTCATTCTGTCGGCTGCTGTGGAGCTGGGGATCCGATGGCGGGAGCTTGCTGAGAAGATGGGAAAGCTGTCCAGCACTCACATAGCTGATTATGAGGCACCGCATCGGGGGACTAATGGTGAAGTGTGCTCTCAGGTCAGTTTATCAGCCTCTAGATCTGTTTTACTTAATCCTGATTGTGTGTGGACCCACTGCCTTGTTATATTTTACACATGTCACCAATGCTGATGCTCAAAATATCCCAATGTGATGGAATGTGATGTATTTTTAATAATCTATGAATCACATTGTTATATAATGGCCTTTTACAGTCCATGTGGAAGCCTGCGTATGACTTCCTTTACTCCTGGAGTCTTCCATATGGAGATGGCTACAGGGACATGATCCAGGATCTGCACCTGGCCCTGGATAAGATGAAAAACCCCGTCACCAAACAGTGGAGGCACCTTACTGGGGCACTCATCACAGTGAACTGTCTGGATGTCTTTCGAGACTCTGCGTTTCCAAAACCCTAGACCTATGTCTTTGATGACCTTGTTCCCCATTTACTATTTTTGCATAATTTGGTTGATTAAAAAATAAATGATGCCTAATGAACGTGGTACTTTTCCCTTTTTATCTTAAGAAACTTACTAAAGTGACAGAAAGTGACGCGTGTCGACAGTGTTGGCTGACTGCATTTGTGAAATCTTTGTTTGTTTGTGTTTAGTCAAAGCTAATGTTACATGAAGCTTCTGGAAAGGACACAAGCTGTGTGTAACCCATGTGTGTTAAGTTGTTACTCTTTTATATGTTAGTGCAATTTTTTTTTCTATTTTGTAAAATGTATGACTTAATTTAATAAAAACTCAGTTTAATCATTTTATTCATAATATATTTGTTTAGTTTTTAGGTAGAACCTCAGTGCTTCAGATTAGTGGTTCCCCAAGAGTTCAGCTTCAGACCCACACAACAGCACCTGTGACCCCAGATGCCTCTGGTCTGACAATGCAAGCATGCTGAATAATTCAGGGCATTAAAACCCACTTCAGTTCATGTCCACTTATGTTCACATATAGTTGAGTTTTATAACAGCTAAATGAAAAATACAGCTTCAGCAAGTGTCTTTCAGTTTGGTTTGGAACTCATCTAAAGACCCGCTGTGTGGTTCTGGATGACCCACAGTGGCGTCCTGACCCCAGACATTAGTTTTACCTACATAAACCACATTTGACACTGAAACCTAATGTTTCAACATTTGGTTGTATTTCACTTTCACTGATTTCTTGAACTCATTTTAATTAGAAACAAACAATTTTTGTTAATGGTTTTTGGATGAGAGTCAGAGGAAGTAGCTCTCAATGGCGTGCTGTGTGCGTGCCACCGATCAGCTCACTCATATCGATAAACTCAGATTTAGTAGATTTCCTAAAGCTAAAGTATTTAGTGTTATTTTTTACCCTCTCCTTTATCTATATGGTGAGCTGATGTGCTGTTTAGAAATACCCAATTAGAACATTTAAAAAGACAATAAAGCATTAAGGAACGTTCTATTAAATAAACACGTAGAAGCACAGAGTAGACACAGTGCTGCCTGAGGAAGAAGCTTCTGAACAAATTGTGTCCTTGACAAGACCAACCTGTTTTTGTGCACCGATGTAAGAAAACATGTAATTAATGACTGACTCACTGTGACAAGTTTTCAATAGGCTGTCATTTTCTGGAATGAGAGGATGAAAAGTCTGAACTTTATTCCTCCGTGTGAAACAGTTTCATCTAGAAACACTCAGAGAACCCTGAAGAACACGAGCCTGAAACAGAGAAATTACTATCCCAACAGGGGTTATTTAGGAAATGTCGGACCTCCCTTTGATCTATTATTATTATTATTATTATTATTATTACTATTACTATTATTAATAATAATTATTATTATAAAATGTTTTAGAACAGTTATTGCTAATGCTTTGTTAGCTAATTGGCCAATGAAACTGCAGTCTTACACAGTTTTGACTCAGTGGTGAAAGAAGAAATAAAGCTGCATTGGTCACATCTTATTTTTATTTGACTTCTGTTTTGTATTTTTCCCAGGTCAGTCCAGTTAAGCATGGCTGTGTGAACGTTTCCTGTTTGCGTTTCTTTACCCTGTTATCCGAAGTCGGTTTCAGCTGAAAGCTCGTTGTGTTGTTTCATCCTTAGAGAGGACTAAACAGACTATCTGGTGGGGAAATAAATCATGCAGGGCAAAAAGATTCTAACTAGGTCAAATCCATTCAGCTGAAAAGTACCACAAACATACTGTTTCCTAAATTTTCCATTTTCATTATGAGAGGGGCCAACTATCTATTTGTTTCAACATAAAAGTTTGCTTTATGAAATGTAAAACTCTTACTGAGCACGCTGGGCTCAGAAATGATTTTAAAACTTTGCAGACAAGAAAAACCAAATTATAACTTGAAATTATTAAAAGAACATTAAGATTTAATATTTTTCCTAGACTTGTGCTATAAAACCCAGGATGGCTTTTTCATGCAGCCCACACTTGTGACCCCACTCCATCCTTCATCAAAACCAGACAAAGACTCGTGTCTGATTCTCTCTGAATGCCAGCTCAGATTACGAACTCTCTCTCAGTTCGTCTGAATCTGTTTCATCATAGATGAGAACTGAAATGGGTGATTGCCCAGCATCCGAGATTATTTACTATGCATATATTTCCTGTGATCTATGTGGATGTGGAAAACCGTCACATAAAAACTTATTAACAGACTAACACTGTTTAGTTTTATTAAAGTCATCAATTTCTATTGAGGTTTGTAACTTTTACTTTCACTACAAATAATGTGAAGAGTTGAGAAAAAAAGCCATCCGCTGTCACTGAAGGGAGATTAAATATAGTTTTATTGCTGCAGCGTAGCGGCCATGCTGACTGAGCTCATCTCTCACCAAGCTGCCTGACTGCTACTTAAATGAACTTAAAGCATGGTGAAAAACAGAGAACTTAGCAGGTGGATGAAAAGGTGCGCTGTGTTTTTATTTAATTTTATTTATTTATTGGGGGGGGGGGGGTATATCAAGAACAGCAACTACTAAACCTGTTATCAAGGTCACATGAGGTCTGTGTGGAAATTCCTGCGTGTACATCATAATTCATGCATTTTTCCAGGACTTGGTTGACCCCTAAAGCTCAACACAGATCCTTTATCCTGCAGATCCTGTTCATCAGCAGGATGATGGATGGAGTGAGTCTTCACCAACACAGCTCCTCTGTGATGCATCGTCTGCAGCAGGGGTCTGACTGGTATTAACCCTCTCAGGCTCAAAAGAAGTTCTGATAAAAAGACGAACAACTAAGTCCATCAGGGGAACTTCTGAGTTAAACAATGCTCATGAAACACGTACGTGGAGTAACCAGGTAGGTAGGTTTTAACGTTGCACATCTGCAACACCTGCCTCCAGAGGGTTCATGAGATTTGGAGACAATGCTAGTCGGCCTCAGTACAAAATTAATTATTTTTATTCTAGTCAACTGTTGAGACATCTTAATGCTTAACTTATTTTGGCATAAAATAAAGTTAGAGAAAGAGGAAAGATGTGGCCTTTGTAGATGTATTTAACCTCTTTGTTACGTTCGTACTGTGTTGGTTATCCAACTTGATTTTGCTCAGTTCTTCGTCGTGCACAGAGTGAAAAAGGTTTGTTGTTTGTTTCGACATCAGCAAAGGTAACAGCAAACCCTTCTCGCTCTGTGGACAACGAAGAACTAAAGAAAATGAGAATGTTTTTAACCTTCCTATTTTACTGGTGTCAAATCATCATTTACTATCAAGGTGACAACTGTTTTGATTATGCTGATGATCATCAGTAATATAAAAAATGTGATTTACTCATTGTGATGTAAAAAAGTTTGATTGTTTTTAAAGTTTTGTCTGAACTTATTTCTAAGATTGCCAGAGTTCAGATTTTTTAGTGAACATTGGAAAGTTTCCACGTAAGTAAATTCTGGGAATGATTTTGTTAGTAATTGGTGCCAAGACGAAATGTCGACATTTAAATGTGGAACACAAACCTCAAAACAAATGTTACAGCTGCATCCAGTGGGTCATCATGGTCACCGTGGTAACCACACATCATCTCTCTCTCTCTCTCTCTTTCTATTGCAGCAATCTTAAAAAGACAGTCAGCCTAAATGTCCTTCCAAACAGCTGAGAAAACTAAGTTTTACTAAAATATGTTGTAGAGTTGATGACATCAACCCGCTGTGTGGGTAAAATCTTCATAAAGCACTGAAACACCTGAAACCTTCAGCCTGTGCCAATGAAGCAATAAAGGAAGCATGCAGACTCAGACATTATACACTGGGTAATTTTAATTAATTTGTAATAAAGAATCTTGGAGAGCAAAAGCTATTTATACATGTCTGAGCAGCAGTTTTTTCTTTTACACTGATTTAGACTTTTGTAAATCCTTGTTGTAATTTATTTGTGGATGGAAATGACGGGAAACGTGGGTTCAGAGGTGGTGAGCGCACGAAGAGGTGAAGGAGAATGACAGACAAACTTGTCTGTGTTAAAAAAGTCTCTTAAATACAAAAAAGAAAAAAACACAATATAAACACATTATCTTGGACCAGATACATGACAGGATACCACAGAACAATACTCCGCCCTCTGTTGTCCTGGCAGGTAATTGCTTTGCAACGTTCTCCAGGAGTTGGAGAAGTATGAGGGCAAATTGTCTCCCTTCATGTGTGCGCGTCTCTCCCTCGTGGAGCAGTAGTGGAGCTCCACAGGGTCCAGTGCTATCACCCTTTCTCTTCACCTTCTATACCTCAGACTTCACGTACAACACCAGCAGCTGTCACCTCCAGAAGTTCTCTGATGACTCGGCCATTGCCGGCTGTGTCTGAGGGGAATGACCTGTAGTACAGGTAAACAGTAAACTGAACTGGTCCAACAACACAGATTCTGTATAGGAAGGGCCAAAGCCACCTCCACCTCCTGAGGAGGCTGGGGTTCTTTGGAGTTAATTCCCAGCTGCTAAAATCCTTCTATCATTCTGTGGTTGGATCTGTTATCCACTCTGCTGTGGTCTGTTGGGGTGCAGGCAGCTCTGACCGAGACAGGAAGAGACCGAACAAGCTAGTTCACTAGGCTAGCTCGGTTCTGAGCTGCCTACTGGATTCAGCTGAGGAGACATGTGAAAGGAGTATGCTGGGTAAGATGACCTCCATGTTAAAAAAAAAAAAACCTCCCATCCACTACATTCCACTGTAGAGACCATGGACAACTCCTTCAGAGGCAGACTGAGACATCCCAGATGTAAGTAGATATTTCATCCCCTCTGGAGTGTAGAACTCCTCAGATTAACTGGTATTGACATTATCCTGGTACACAATAACACCAATTCAATATTCATTATGTGTTCAATACTTCTTTAATACCAGATTTACATAGTATGTCCGTGTCTCCTGCAGAATGCTGTATAGTTTTATCCATGGCTTCAGTGGCCGAAGGTTACAATACTACTCTTCTGTATATTTGTTCTGTGTGTTGACTCATAATTATCTTCCTTTTTCTTATTGAACACAGTGGAGTATTTAGATGTTTACCTTCAGCTGACATCAGCATCACTTCCTTTTATGTGCGTGCAGCAAAGGACGATTTCGCCCTCTGCTGCCCGCATCGTTACAATTCTATATTACTGCCTTTGTGTATACATGCATGTACCTTTGTCATTATTTTTCTTCAAATTATTCTCTTAAGCGTTGGCGCTGCTGCGACAAGGGAACTTCAGCTGAATGGGAATAAGACTGAGATCCTCATCTGTGCCCCAGACAAGCCGGTTCCCAAAGTCAGAGACTCTCTTGGTCAGCTTGCTTCCCAC